ATAGGAAGTTCACATATATCTTTAACCTAACTTCCAATATTTCCAATTTATATAATCATAGTTATTACAATGAGGGAAATAGATTTGGTATAATACCAACTACTGTCCTAACTCAGATTTCACATTTTTCCAGTTAATGTCCTTTTCCTGTTCCAGTATTCACTCATCCATCATATTGGATGTAGTATTGGGTCTTCTTACTCTTTATCCTCTAATATGTGATAGTAATTCATTCTTTCATTGTCTTAAAAAAACATTTATTTTTTTCTTTAAAGAGTTATAAAAATATTGTAGCAATTTGTGACAATGTAGAAGATATAAGTAAAAATTAGCAACCTACTCCCAGTGATAAGTGCTGTCAACAGTTTTGTGTGTTTTGTTATTTGTTTTTTATGCATTTATGGTTTACATATATATTTTGAGATCATAATGGGCATACTGTCCTGGAACTGTGTTTTTTACTCAAGCCCTATTTATTTTCTTTCAGCATCTTTCAATGTCAACATGTGCAGTTCTGTCATTCTTTTTAGTGGCTACCCAGTGTGTATGAACATATTATTTTACGAAGCCATTCTTTTGGTGGACCATTAGACTATTTTCAGTTTTTCATGCTTATATAAGAAGTTGCACCAGACATCCTTATGTACGTAACTTTGTCTGTCTACCTGGTTATAATTACTGGATCAATGACCACAGGCATTTTCTATATAATTACTGGATCAATGACCACAGGTAGTTTATTCAAATTGCCCTCCAAAAGGTTGTATCCAAACTTACACTCCTTCCAACAGTGAGTGATGTGCTTATTTCCCAACAAAGCTGTGAATGAAGTATATAATTGGTTATAATTGGTTATATAATTGGTTATATAACTGGTTATAATTACTGGATCAATGAACACAGGTAGTTTATTCAAATTGCCCTCCAAAAGGTTGTATCCAAACTTACACTCCTTCCAACAGTGAGTGATGTGCTTATTTCCCAACAAAGCTGTGAATGAAGTATTCTAGTCCGTTAACAGTAGTTTGGTTTGAGAAATGGTCTCGTGGGTGTTTAACTATACATTATGGTATTTTTTTTCCCCCTACAAATCACTGTTTTGCTTTTATAACACTCACGTGTACATACAATACTTAATTTTAAAAAGAATGGCTTTGAAAGCACATGCAAGGGTGTTCTTTGAAATCTTTTTAATTTGGCGTGATAGGAAAGCATGGCCATGTGGAGGTCTCGTTTACGGCCTGAGGAGCTCATGAAGCAGTTATTAGGAGGCTTTCTTTAGGGTGCATCTTAGATTTCAGGGTTTGGTGGATTAGAAAAACATGTTTAAGAAGTGGGAGTCTGTGATCACAAATCATTGTTGAGAGACTTGGATTTGTAGCAGGGAGCAGTTGTAGATGAAGCCTGGCTTTTTTGAGAATTCTGTGCTCTTGAGCAAGCTGTATCATTCAGCATCAGTTCTTAGTAGGGGAGAGGAGCACGGGAAGGGACTGCTAGTCCTAACATGTCCTTTTGGAGTTACCGAAGAATCACTGAATTATTTTTAATACCAAATATGTGGCCACAGTGCTAGAAGTAGATAAATAAGGATGCCCATTATAGCAGAGAAAGCTTAAACCAGATAATAAAGTGGTCTGAAAGACACTCAGCGTAAGTGATCCTCCATTCTTTGTGTCATCTGAAAGTACACTAGCTGCTGGGTAGACTAAAGAGCAAAGATGGGGATATGGTTTGTTTGGTTTCAGTTTTTGTTAGTTTTATATTTTCACCCCATTAGCATATCTCTAGAATCTCTCTGTTTTTCTCTTTTAATTTAAGATTTTCATTTTTGTGGGCAAAGGAGGATATATGTATATTGTCCCCTTTGTTCTCTGTTTGTCTTTCCATACATATGCATCATAACTTCAGCTAATACACTTCTAAACAATATCAAGGACATATTCTAGACACTTGGATTGGCAAAGGGATAAAACATTAGAAATCTAGGCCCTCCTAAAATGTCTAGGATGTGTAAGTCTCCTAACAAAGCATTAGTGTAATTACTAGTAGTAAGTAATGATCATGTGAATATTCAAAATGTTTGATGTAGTGTCAGCTCTCTTTCCCATAGAAGGTGAAATTTAAATAGTGAACTTAAAAACCTGCCTTTAGCAGAAGTTTGCTTGTTGGGGTTTTTTTCTTCCTTAATGCTACCTTCTAAAAAGGAGGTAGAATCAGGACACTTAAAAATAATAATATTTTAAAAATAACAAGAACAAGATAACTTTTAATTTTTATAAAATACTTCAAATGAATTTGAAGAACTATTTGAATTTGAAGCCTTGGGCTTTTCTTCTTAATAAATCACATTATTTATATTTAGAATGCATTCATGTACACATTATTTCTATATAAAATGTATACATGCAAATAATTAAGTTTTCTTAAACTACAATTAGAGACTGCCATTTCTAATTAACTAGTTTTTTAGTTAAAAATGAAGGCAAAGAAGTACTATTTACCTTAATGTTGGAAAATTCAACATTATTCAGAAGCAATCTGATTTCAAAAGCAATCTCTCCAAAGCCCAAATTAGAAAATCGTTAGAAGGCACAGTCATTCTAATATGGAGTTGTGACTTAGAAATTTCATTCCCACTCATTTCAGCTATTTTAAATCATTGTTTTCTGCTACTAGAGAATTGGATGGTTGTCATTCATTCCATATTATCTTAAGATTTATTTGAATGCCTGCTATGTGCCGGAGACTGTGCTATACACTTAGCATGTGTCATATCACTTGATTACCGTAGAAACTGTGGATGAAGGTTATAATTCCACTTTATATGAAAGAAAGCAAGTTTGGAATGGAAAAAAAATTGTTTTCCAAAGATCATGTTTTTTAAGTGAATGGTGACATCCAGACTTGAATTTCAAAGCCTTGCTTTTAACCACTGTAGCAAAATCAAAGACTGGAATCCTTCTGTTATTTCTTAACTATACATAGACCAAAGAAGCCACTGTGTTAGTTAATTTTTGTTAGAGGAAAAACACAGCACCAGCTATTTTTTTTTTAAAAAGACAAGAGAAAGAATCACAAAACAAAAATCAAAGTACTGAGATAAGTTGGAAAAGAACATTGAACTTGAAAGGATACCTGAGCTAGTACTTGGCTCACTCAGCTCATGTGTCACTTTCTTAGGAAAGTATCCACTTCTTGTCTGTCTTACTAGAGCAGTGAACTTATTACCATAAGCAGTGATTCTATGGTGCACATATTTCATATTTTAATATTTCTAAAATCTGGAGGCATCTTATAATTAATGGTGTTTAAAATTAATTGGCGACATTTTCCCTTAACTGTTGATACATAAAATAAGGGTGTGATTTACTACTGATGACATCTTGGATTTGATGAAATGCAGTGTTTATTGATATGTCCTCCCACAAAAATATTTACACCATTCCCACAGTTTAAACTACTGGGTATATATAATAACTTTCTGATTTCTACCCTCACCCTCTTTTAAGCTCCAGCCTTATCTGTTGAATTGAATTTTTCTTGATATCATTGGGATCACAGATTCATGATGTCTACCTCCAAATCTGTTTGTCTTGCAGTGGTCTCCATCTCAGTAAATGACATTTTCAGTTGTACATATGTGAAGCTAAAAAGTAAAAAGTCAGACTACCTAGGTTTGAATCCCATTTCCATCTGATAATGGTTATACACCTGCCTCTGAGAATTGTTAGGGTGACTAAGACACTAGGTTAATGCTAGATGCCACTAATCTTCATCATACATATCTGTGACCTCTCCTTGCTCTGCACATGTAATTCATCAGATCCTGTGATAGGTTAGCCCTTGAAAGAACAAGTCCAATGCCTCTTATCTCATTGTCACTTCTGCAACTTATGCCCCATTTTTCTTACCTGTAGTAACTCATCTTGTAGCTTTTCTCTTTTTTCTATGTTTTAAGGTAAGAACCATCCATTAAAACAGAGCATGCCATTTGGTAAAACCCCTCCTGATGCACTTGGTATAGCACCCCAAATCCTTAATAGGGTGTGTTCTGTTCTCTTTTTTCCACGTGGCTTCATCTCCCCCCAAACCAACTCCCATTCATCTGTTAGAGTTCAGCTTAAGTGTCACTTCCTCGGAGACAGACATTCCTTGATATTCCAAACTAAATTAGGTTCTTCAGATACAGTCTTTTATATTGAACTTCTTTATTGTTTGGGGATGATTTGTTCCTTCCCAACTGAGGCTAAAGAAGTTAAGTGACTTCCCCAAAGTCATAAATCTAGTTGTGTTAGAACTGGAATTCCAAGCCAGGGCTGGCAGCTCTAAAGATATGTTCTGCCTGTGATCTTTCCTTTGCTGCATTCAGGGCAGAAAAGAGCATATGAATCAGTATACAAGATTAAAAAATATGCTCCAACCGCTCTCTTCCCTTTTTCCACTTAGCCTTTAGTTTTCCTTAAATGTTCATCTTTCTAAACCCTCACTCCCTGCCATAACTTATTAGAAGTAGGACCTATTTTTTTTTGTAGTTTCTTTGGTGGTAGGGATTCATCCCAGGGATGAGTTACAACACTGCTAGGACCTGTTTTTGTATATTATCTACCTAGCGCTTATATAAATTACTTTGCATACAGTAGATATTAATTAAATATTTTTGTCTTATTGATAAAAACAGTATTTTAATCTGTTAAATCATTTCAAGGACTCGAGCTGTCTCACAAAGGAGTTTAATATCTTCTTCCATATTCTTTTTCCAGTCAATGAAAGAGTACATTTTGTTTTCTTATTTTGAATAAAACTGCCTAAAATAGTTAAAAGCAAAGTTAATTGTGTGTGTGTTTGTGTATGTGTGTGTGTTTTGCAGTGCTGGGAATTGAACCAGGGCCCACTTTACCACTGAATTCATCTCTCAGTCCTGGTAGTGTGTATTATAATGAATTATTATACGGTTTTGGAAAAAGAAAGAATTAACTTTAAGTATTTTTGTTTTCCTTCAGGAATTAAGTGATCTACAACGTGATCCACCTGCTCACTGTTCAGCTGGACCTGTGGGAGATGACTGTAAGCTTTGCTCTATTGCTAGGATTTTGTTACCATTAAAGGTATAGGTTTGAACATTTGTTAATGACTCCAAAACTCCTTTGTTTGTTTCAGTGTTCCACTGGCAAGCAACTATTATGGGGCCTGTAAGTATGATTCATATATATGAAATTAATCCGCTAGCCATACTTCATTCTTGCCTTTTTACCTTTGATCTGATGTTTGTGAGTAAGGTTGAATTTTCTTGTACACTGAATCTCGCTGGAAGCAAAATATGATTGAAAGTTTATGATGATTTTCTAAAGCATTATTGGCAATTTCTTAACTAGGATCACTAGGATGTTTTCCGTGCCAGATCCTTGTTCATTACGCGTAGTAATGAATCACCCCCCAACTTGCAAACAGACTGTTTGCTTTACTTATTTATTTAAGACACAAAGAATCAGTTGTTTTTAACTAAGCATAGTCATTCCCACATCCATAGCTTTAATGTTAGGTGTAAGTCTAACCTAGTCATGGAATTCCTCCAACTAACAAGCACCAATTTGCATGAAGTTTCATCACTATTCTTGTCTATGAAGGAGAATTGATAAATGTTGCAATGGGTCTTTTTTTTACCACCTTTTGAGTTTTTTGCTTTTAATATTGTTGCACTATCTTGAACTCAAAATTACCTACTGTTCTATTATTGACTCCTCTTAACTCCCCTCCCCAGTACTAGGGATTGAACTCTGAGTGCTTTACCTACTGAGCTACATCCCCAGCCCTTTTTAAATTCTTTTACTTTGAGATAAGATCTCCCTAAGTTGCTGAGGCTGGACTTGAACTTGAGATTCTTCTTTCTCAGCCTCCCAAGTTTCTAGGATTACAAGTGTGTGTTGTTGTGTTATAGACCTTTATAAATATTTCTTAGGTAAACACATGTAACAAATTATTATATTTGTGGTATTCCTATCTCCCTTATTTTAGAAATGCAAATATATGCTCTACAGTATTCCATAATCATTTGAATATCTAAGCAGACCATTTTGTCACTGTAATTTGTTTACATTTCTGTGTAATTTAATTATTATATTTCATAATTATATTTTTGATGATCTAGAATTAAACAATATATATAAAAGGAAGAATAATTATGTCATACAGTCCTCTAATATGTATGTAGAAACTTAAGGAAGAAGTAATATGTATGTAGAAACTTAAGAGAAAAAGTAATGACAATCTTTGCTTTTATTGCCACATTGTTAATATAACATGATATGTTTAAATATGAAGGAATTCAGATAGAATTTCAAGTATATTTTATTACAATTTTTGCTTTTTTGAATTTTTCTTTTTTGCTTGTAATGTTTTAAATATTTTATAATGGCCATTTAAAAATATACAAATTTAAATTTTTATTGCATTGATTCCTAACTTGATAGTACCATGAATTTATTTAGTTTTGTTTTGGACTTCTTTTGCATTTTCTACATTATTTTGTAAATTTTCTAAGTGAAGGTTTGAGGGATAAATTGTTTTTAACAATTCACTTGGTCATCTTTTTTTCTCTTTTTTTCATAACTTGGGTCTCTCCTGGTCTCTACTTTGCTGTTAAGTAAGCATCAGAACTTAAGCTTTATAAATTAAAATATAAATACTCCTCCAATCCCTTTTTAATACTGATTGCTGCTGCAGAAAATATTGGCATATATACTGACCTTTAAAAGTTTGTACTCATAAACAGATTTATTTGGGCAAGTCACACCACTGAGTGTGTACACTGTTTTTTGTTTTATTTTAAATTTTATGATACTGACATGATTGTTAGAAAATCCTTCTTCATACCTGCAAAGGGAAACCTGTTTTCAAGGTAAATGACTTGAATTTAGGTCACAATGATTATTAAAAAAAACAAAACAAAACAAAACAAAAACTGGTAATATTTGATGAAACCATTTAAAATATGGCATTTTTTTTCCAAACCAATAGTATTTGGGGATTCTTTTTAAGTTACTATATAATTACTCAAACATTGATGTACATTGTTTTGTAATTTCAGCCTGATAGCGCATATCAAGGTGGCGTCTTCTTTCTCACTGTACATTTTCCGACAGACTATCCTTTTAAACCACCAAAGGTATTTTTCTTTTTATGATTGATGTGATTGCCATGTCAGGGATTTTATTCCTTTTCCAGAGATGGTTTCATGACATCAAAGACTGTGGGTAGGTGAGCATGCTCAAACTGTTTTGTAAAACCTCCAAATCCTAAAGTTTGCATTCTTACTCAAACATTGAGTGAGATACTCAAAGCAGTATCTATTATGTTATAAATGAGTTTCTTTGACTTTCTTTTCCTGTTTATGAGGTATATGTAATTGAGGAAGTTTTTTTATGGTCATGAATCAAACTGTTACATTCACAGGATTATTTTTAAACATTTAGTAACTATTGAGCACCTACTATGTTCTGCTACAGTGAGAAATTCAAAAGTGAACGTGGTACGGTTCCTTCGTGGTACGGTTCCTTCATTTAATGGGCAGGAGGGCACTGGGAAAAGATGAAAACATGTTCTTATTAGATTTAATTTAGATGAAGTCTAAAGAGGAAATAAATGATGAGAATATCAAGGAGGGAAATAATGAGCAGTTCTGTCGATCAGGAAATGGTTCAGGTTTTTAAAAACACCTGATTAAGATTGTATTTTTGACATGGTAGGACAGCAACTCTTGTGTAAGATAGAATTCTTGGTCGATTTCTTAGGACAGGTTAACAAAGGCTCTAAGATCCAAGTGGCACATCCAGTACTACTGATAGTTAAATTAAGAAAAGGATTACTTTTAGGTATGAGAAAACCAGGTTAATTACCAGTCATCCTAGCTACTACAGATTTCTTATACTTTCAAATACTTCTCAACTCTTTGAGGAGGAAATGAGGGAAACTGAGTTATTTGCTTCCAAATTTACAGTATTTATAACTACTTGTAGCCCAGAGTAGATGCTCACTCAGCTTGCATAGAATGCATTTCTCCTTCTAAGGCTGTGTAATGTTGAAGATTTGTTACCCCAGAGTAAATTGGTTCTGGTTTTTTCATAGTTCATGGCATATTACATTTTCTGTTGTTTTGTTTTGCCTTTATGTTTAGATTGCTTTCACAACAAAAATTTACCATCCAAATATAAACAGTAATGGAAGTATTTGTCTTGATATCCTGAGGTCACAATGGTCACCAGCTTTGACTGTATCAAAAGGTAATTTCACTTATCAGACTTAAAACATTGATAACAGTGAGACAGAAAAATATTTTTTTCAAGTATTTAGGAACCAAAGTTTTAAAAAACAAATCTGTGCTTTCTCCTGTTTTGACTTTGCTTTGTTTTTATAACTCTTATGTTATGTTGGCTTTTAACAGTCAGTTTTTGGGGCATGTGGGGTGTGGATGGGTAAATCTAAATCATAAAATGAGAAAAGATTTAAAATATCATAGTTATAAATTTATATAATAAGCTCATTGACTATCTTTTTAGCTTGCTTTTGTCTTAAAAAAAAGAATAAGCGATAGTAATAAAAAGATTTTGGCATCAGTTGCCTATTCATTAAATGGGACTTTTGACAACAATGAATAAAACTATATAGCCAGTTTACTTCATGCAAGAAAAAAATTACAGATATGGCTGATGAAATAAGTGATTTTAAAGCAGTGACATATTTCACACTTTAGAATAATGCAATACAGATAGCATGTAAGTTTAAATTTTGAATGATTGATGGCATCAGTATGACTGACACATAATCCATGCTGATTCTGAGCAGGCACAGTTGACAACATGCAAGACATTCTTAGGTGTCTGTTATGCTGAGAGATGCAGATGTGTAGCCCTGTTCTTAGCTAAATTGTCAGCTATGTACATAGGTCTCTGAAGCCCATTGTGTTTTGTTAGCCATTACAATTTACTATGCCAGCATTCTTTATTTTTTGTTTTATTTCTCTAATACGGAACTTGACAATTGGAAAATATTGATTGGGTTAGAAGCATCTGCCCCTGAAAGCACTATCACATTTTTACTTTTTTATAAAATTCAAGAAAATTGTTTCTCTTGAAGGATTTATGAGAAGAATTTGTGGTCATTTAAAAAAATTTTTTTTTGGCACTGGGGATTGAGCCCAGGGGTGTTTAGACACTGAGCCACATCCTCAAGATCTCACTGAGTTGCTTAGGGCCTCATGAAATTGCTGAAGCTGGCTTTGAACTCACAATCCTCCTGCCTTAGCCTCCCAAGCTACTGATATTATGGGTGTGTGCCATCATGCCCCACCATTTTTTAATTTTTTAAATTAAATGCTACCCAAATATATGGCTTGTTGCTTGTTTTTTGTTTGTTTTATTTTTAGTTATCGGTATTGAACCTAGCTTTACCTGAGAGCTACCTCCAAACCTTTTTTTTTTACATTTTTAAGACTGGGTCTTGCTGAGTTGCTGAGGCTGGCCTCAAACTTGTGATTCTCCTGCCTCAGCCTCCAGAGTCTTTGGGATTACAGGCCTGGGCCACCATGCTCTATATCTAGTTTTGTTGTTGTCTTTAATAATATATATTATGTCTTTAATATATATTATATATTATATATATATAAAAGTTGTAGATGGACACAATACCTTCATTTTATTTATTTATTTATTTTTTATGTGGTGCTGAGGATCAAACCCAGTGCTTCACACATGCCAGGCAAGTGTACTACCACTGAGTCACAGCCCCAGCCCTATAGCTTGTTTTTGTTTTTTTGGTACAGGGGTTGAACCTAGGGGTGCTTAACCACCAAGCCATATACCCAACCTTTTTTATATTTTACTTTGAGACAGGGTCTCACTAAGGTGCTTAGGGCCTCAGGTGCTAAGTTGTTAAGGCTAGCTTTGAACTTTTGATCCTCCTGCATAGGGATTACAGGCATGTACCACCACATCCAGCCCTATAGCCTGTTTTTGAAGTGATGAGTTTATAGGAAGTAGGGTCCACAGCCATAACTGTTTCAGGTATTAGTAAATAATAGGGTTTCAGGTCAATTATGATTGGTATTTTTTTTCTAACCTGAAGTGCTCATCTAAAATTTTTATATAATATGTCTTTTTAAAAAATCTTTCACATAGTGAAATTATATGCACTGAATAAAGGAAAGATTCTGTGTCAAATAGTTTTTCAAACTAACAGTACTCTTTCCTGGAATGGTGTCATGAAATGAATGTCATTTGGCATAAGCAGCTAAGTCCTTATCATTTAAAAGAAATGGCAGACTGCCAGATGCTAAGTAATTATCCTCCAATCAAGGTGGCTTTTATTTAAAAAAAAAAGCTTCTACAAAAACTGTCCTTTGAGAATTTAAAAACAGCCTCCTTTTCCTCATATGTGAAATAGGATTACCAACCACCTAGGGTCACTGTGCCCCTGGCAGGAAGTTAGCATTCAGGTAAATGTTAACTGTTGTCTTTTACCTTATCTTAAAACCTTTGGTTTGTGTGCTTGATAGTGAAATCAGGGCAAATGACTCAAGGCAGCAGGACTCAGGAACTTCATTCTTGTTATTTTATGAAGTAGCTCATACCTCTACAATTTATTTGTGCACTTTTCACTTTCCTGCATTTTAAATGTCTTGTTTTGCTTTTTATCAAGAGTTTAGTCTAAAAACATTCTGGAGATAAACAAGTAACCCCAGAAAAATGTACCCTTTTGGTTTAATATACAGAGACTTAAAGTTTCATTGGGTAGATGGGCAATGAGGAAAAATTTTTAAAAATGCTAGTTTTTCCCCTAATCCTTAGGATCCCCTTTCCCTGTCATTTAAAGAGTCCCCTTTGGACTGGAAAGAGTAGGAAAAGATGAAGGAACATAGCAGAGGAGGAGAGGGTGGAAATAAGAGGTTGCTCCAAATGCAGCCCCTCAGAAGTGGTCCTGTATGAAACAGCCAAATTAGGACCAGAGTTCTTGTTCCTTCCTGTTTCAAATACTTGAATTTTTTTCCCCCAAATGTAGCTGTTTACATTGTATTTTGACATAGTAACAAGTACTTTTTAGTTTCATTGATATTTTAAAATAGACAAGTTATCTAAAGATGGCTGTTCACATTATTTTTAAATGCATGTAATAAAAGTAAGGTACATGGAATAAAGGTTTCATTGAAGAAAATCTCACAAATCTTCCTCCTTTATAGACAGTCTGTAGCACTAAGGCAAAGGAACAGAGCCCATGAGCACAATGTTCAAAACAGTTTGGACTCTTTTCGGTAATTCAATTGCTTTTTAGAGTACTGGAGTTGAAAAGGTTGTTAGTAGCTACTTTGGAGATGCATATTTTGTAAATAGATAAAAAATTCAATAGAATTTAAAACTTCAAAAGGAGTAATAATTTTCTATTTTGTGCATTTTATGGTGATTTTATAAGTTAATGATATGCTTCCAGCCAAAGTTAGTATAAAACATAAAAATAAAACATTTTTGTTTTCTTTGTAAGTTCAATATCTATCGTCAATGAAACTATTTTCACATGTGTAGATTGTCTAAAGTAGAAAGATCACTGTCTAATCTGATGTTCTCTTTTAAATCTAGTTTTATTGTCCATATGTTCTCTACTTTGTGATCCTAATCCTGATGACCCCTTAGTTCCAGATATTGCACAAATCTATAAATCAGACAAAGAAAAGTAAGTATTTATTTATATTGCTTCTGTTTGAATGCATTTCTATAGTCTCCCAAACATGAGTATTATCAATATATTAAGTACATTTATTTATGTGTATATTAATTTTGTCTTTTTCCAATGCATTTGACCTTTCTTTTTAAACCCTTCTCAAAGAGTTTAAAGTCTTTTTATAATAAATTTTGTGTTTTTTTCCCATTTACTATTTAATACTACATGTTTTTTTGTTTATACAATTAACTATATAATTCTAGGCAGTAAATTTAAAATAAGAGAATTTAATCATTGGAAGTATTCTATATTGTATTTTCTGTCTTCTCCTGGGAAAAGAAGTTATCTCTGTCCCCAGTCAGACTGACCTTGTTTTCAAACCATTTCATTCTGCTGTTTCCATAGGTTTGTTTGTATTTTGAAGGTAATACTCATTCACAGTTGGGTTTTGTAGTTTTTGGTTATTTTATAATTAGGTACATTTTCCTGTAGGTTACAGAAAAACACATGAACAGTTATTTCTGTTTTACTTATGCATGAGCCTGTGTCACATTGATCTAATAGTTGGTATATGTGTGATTATTGCAATTAAGCGTGAGAAGGTAGAATGTATAGTTCTATATAGACAGATGTTTCTAAAACATTAAATTTGTATATTTTTACTATATCCCTTTTGTATGCCTACAGATACAACAGACATGCAAGAGAATGGACTCAGAAATATGCAATGTAAAATCAAAAAAACTTTCATATATACCAGAGTACTGTAAAATCTAGGTTTTTTTCAACATTAGCAGTAAATTGAGCACTGTTTACTGTTTCATTGTACCATGAAACCCTTTGATTTTAACCCATTTTAAATGTGTTTCTGAAGCAAGACAAAACAAACTTCCAAAAATACCCTTAAGACTGTGATGAGAGCATTTATCATTTTGTATGCATTGAGAAAGACATTTATTATGGTTTTTAAGATACTTGGACATCTGCATCTTCAGCTTACAAGATCTACAATGCAGCTAAAAAGCAACCAAATTATTTTTTGCTGAAACTAGATGTTTTTACATGAGAAATACTGTATGTGTTGTCTAAGATGTCGTCACTTTTATAAATCTGTATTCAGATTTCATTCTTTGTTAGCTCACTTTATAATTTGTATTTTTTTACTGTATAGACTAAATATATTCTATTTACATGTATGTCAACTCATTACTTTTTTCCTGTGAACAGTATTGAAAAAACCCAACAGCTGATAATTAAATGAATTAACTGTGTCTCCCTTGTCTTAGGATATTCTTTAGATTGATTGCAGATTTCTTAAACCTGAAATGATCTTTACACTGTAATTCTCAGTATACTGATTATGGAGAAACACTTGTTTTGATTTTGTTATACTTGACTTAACTTTATTGCAATGTGAATTAATTGCACTGCTAAGTAGGAAGGTGTGTAACTTTTATTTGTTGCTATTCACATTTGAATTTTTTTTTCTGTATAGGCAATATTATATTGACACCTTTTACAGATCTTACTGTAGCTTTTTCCATATAAATAAAATGCTTTTTCTACTATTTGTCTTGATTACTTAAAGCATTACTTTATCTATAGGTAAGAATTAAACCTGTATATAAAATTTTACAGGAAAATTATTTCCAAATTATGAAAATGAGATGTATTATATTTGGCATTAATCACCACTAGTTATATATACATTTTTATTATATTAGATTAGCATCGCTTTACTCAATTGTCTGTAAGATTATTGATTATTTACCTTGGCCACTAGTTGTAGATGAGAATTCAGAAGTTGGGGTTTGTCTTGGATCACATCTTAGATGGATTATTTCTGGAAGTACCAAAATGAATGTAAGGTATTGTCACCTTCCCTGAAGAAATGTTTTTATAGACCTAAGAAATCATGAGATTCATTCATTAAAATTACCCTGTAGATGTAACTGACATTATATTTCTTAACATTTTGAAAATCTAGAGTTTCTAAAGTAGGATTTTAGTGTTATCACAATTTGAAAAACATCCTTTTTTTCACTGTAAAATTTACCCCCCAAAAGAATTCTAAAATGATGCTTCCCTCTGTTTTTATAAGTTGTCTGGTAAAAGTGATTTAAATAAGCAGATTATCTTTCTAGATTTTTAAAGAAAATGAGAAAGTTCAAATGTATTACTTGCAAAACCCCTCTCTTTAATGTTTAGCAAGCATACCACCTGAGTGCATCATATTAAAGAGCATTCCTAGCTCCTCTGGTTGTTGCAACAGGTTGTGCAGGCACCCCTGGTGAGGTAGTCATTAGCAAACCTTTTAAGCCACTTGATTATTTTGTCATGGTTCATTATTATTAAAGTACAAAATAACCTGTTGTTAGAAAATATGTGTCTTTATGAGATAATTAAATGAATTGTGAACTGGATATTTAAGAAAATATAGTAAAATAGCTATATTAATTGATGTCTTAAAACAGCAATATCATGAAAAACACTACAATAACTATCTTTGCCATGAATTTGAAGATTCAACATCATTAAGATTTTGAGTATTACTTATATGTTGACAGTAGAGGATTTTGTTTAAGTATCTTTTACTTTTTTTTTTTTTTTAACTTTTATTTGTGTGTCATATATTTTTGGAAGTGTCTTTTTTTTCTTTATTAAAAGTTTTGAATCTTGCCTAACTCTTGTTTGCCTTTGCTTACATTTGAATTGTACAACCAGACTTGCGAGGAGTAAGCCAATGTTCTTATAGTTAACTAAAATCCTTAAATTCAGTGGTGGCATAATGATCAGATAGATCATCATATTGGGGATATCATTTTTTGATTAAAAATTCTAACAAAGAGAACATCAATTATCTTTTAAAACTGAGCTCAAAGCCTTTTAAGCACCTTCTTGGAGTGTTGAAAATAGTTTTTGTGATGCTTTGAGGTATAGTTGCAAAACATATTCCAACTGGGTTCTGGATATTTGTACATGTAAAATAAATCAGATACAAGTTTTTTTTTTTTTTTAAGGACAACCTCAACACCACCCCACAACAAAGCATACGAGCTTTGCACATATGCCTATGGAAATCATACATAATTATTCATTTTTGCTTTTTTTTTCCTTTTACACCCTTCCTAAACTGGTAGGAAAAAAACTAAACACTAACTTTGTGTATCAACTACTGTCAATTTAAAAAGACCAAATATACTAGATGACATATACACAAACAGAGTAACAAGGGCAGCCTTAACAGTTAATATTTAAAGGAGTTAATTGATGTCTTGAAACATCAGTTAACATCAATTTAAAAAATATCCGTGAATGGTAATAATATCAATTGTAGTTTTATATTTCTCTGATTTTATCACAGCAAGGGATAGAATGTAGGGCCTCCTGCATGCTGGACATGCTGGCCAAGTATTCTACTACTGAGCTTGCCCCCAGACTCAGTTCTGGGGGTTTTGTTTGTTTGTTGGAACCAGGGATTGAACCCAGGGATGCTTAACCACTGAGCTACATCCCTAGCCCTTTTTATATTTTATTTAAAGAGAGTATCACTAAGTTGCTTAGGGCCTAGCTAAGTTGCTAAGGATGGCTTTGAACTCAGGATCCTCCTGCCTCAGCCTCGCAAACTACTGAGATTACAGACATGTGCCACTGTCTCTGGCCCAGTTCTGTATTTTTTAAGATGGAGAGACTAGGAATATTAATTTTCCTTTCAAATTAAAAGAAGTTCTTGTTTGTGAAGCTATTTATTTATGTCATGTCTATTTATTAGTAGTTAGTTTGAGCTAGATGATTTAAAATTTGAGTTCTGCAGTAGAATCATCAGTCCCAATAAGTTGTTTTCAGGTGCAGTCATGAAAATATGACATTTACTTTAGCCATGGCTTAATGTATAATGCTTTAGTATATTCAGATGATTGACATTACTGCTTATCTTCTTAGTTTATATAAATCTTTTATATGGCTATTAACATAAGGCACTCTGAATTTTCAAAAAATTCAATTTTATCCCTGTATAAGCTGATTTTTCAAAAAGTTTTTTTTTTTTTATTTGAAGCAGATTAGTCATAATTTAATAGCCGTAAAATGTAATGTGTATCATTTGTGAAAGTCCTTGTCTAGTTGTTTTTTTCCTCCATGCTGGGGATTGAACCTGGGGCCCCTTTGCCTAGGAGGCACACACTCTACCACTGAGCAACACCCACAATTCTCTTATTATTTACAATGCTTGGCTCTTTTTGTTCTGACAATTGCATTTTATAAATGAGGCAGCAGGTGAAGATTCATCTAATTTCACTTGTAAAAATCACCATGTATAAGTAACTAGTCATTTCTGCACTTTTTTCATAGTGGTGTCTCTGAACTCTTAAACTTTGGACTTGATACGCTTTCATCAGTTTTTTTTTTTTATAGTGTAGTGATAGTTGAAAATTTATAAACAACTGATGTTTCAATTGTAGAATTTTGTAATACAATACTGTCTTGATGACAGTCAAATAGGTGTTATATCACTTATTTTTATTTTATTACAATTGAAATTTTGCTCCTATTCTGTTATATAAGAATGTGGTTTTTAAATTGTAAAAGAATTGAATTAATAGGAAGAGAGAAAATTCACCTAAAAGAATTAGTATTGGGGGCATTTTTTATAATAAAACATTTGTTTAAAAACTAATTTTAGTACTCTCTTAGATATGACTGTTTTGAAGGGTGAGATGTGCCTTTCTTACCTCATGAGGAAGTTGCTTTTATTATACTTACTGACGTGTAAGATCTGAAATATGCTTTCCCATATGAATTACTTGATGAGAAAAGCTATTAAGATCTCTCTCAGGCTGGGAGTGTTGCTCATAGGTAGAACATGTAGCTTGGCATGAGTAGGCCCTGTGTTCAATTTCCAGCATCAAAAAGAAAAAGATCTCTTTAGTGCAAAAGATCACAATGAGTTGTATGTGAAATATTTTAACATAAACTCCTAATACACTTGCGGGGGACAACTTGTGACACTATTTAACTTAGCCAGCTACATATTCGGCATATTAGTAGATGAATTTACAGGACTTGGCACATGGTCATCCTCAGCTAAGATTTATTATAATATTGCAAGTATACACGGCTGGGTCACTGAGGGGAAAAGAGATCCAGTCTGGATTCATTCATGTGCAGACTACCTGTGCTCTTCCTGAAGGGGCCACACAAGAACACACTTCCAGCAGAGTGTTTCTGCCTGGGGAAACCAGTTTGAAATTCAAGTCTATGGTTTTTATTGCAAGCTAATCATGTAGGCACCCTTTGTCCTTCAAAATTCTAGTGCCCCAGGTGTTCACCATAAATCATGTTGTTTGTTTAAAAATATAGTTGAGCTAGCAGAGCAGACATAACCTTAATACTTAGGAAAAGGTTAAAAAGCCAAGTTCCTAGAGGTCAGCCAAAGGTAAACCTTATAAATAGGCACTTCTAAAAATCCGGCCCATATAATTTGAGGAAGATAATTCTTTCCCCTTTTGATTTTAGGACCCTTGTTGAAACCATAGAGTTTTATTTCTTGGCCCTAATTTATCCCACCAATCAGCTTAAGCCAGTAAGTATTACACAATTTTGATTACGGTAGCCTTGTAGAAACTTTGTAGATGAGGAAGTGTGGATCTTCTAACTTAGTTCTTTATTTTGACTCTTCAGTTCCCCTGCAATTACAAATGCATTTTAGAATCAGTTTTCCCACTTCTCCTGCTAAGATTTTAATTGGAATTGTAATGAATCAATTTTAGTAAATTAGAATTTTTTGTTCTGATTATCTAATTATGAATGGCAAACCACCTCAAACTAAGTTTTGTAAAGGAGCAACAATTTTATTATATTCATGAATTTTGTGGGGTGGTCAGAAATTGGAATGGAGCATAATAGCAATTGCTTGTCTATTCCATGGTACTTAGGGTCTCAGCTAGGGGGTAACTCCAATGGCTGGGTCATTCTCCTTTCATCTGCTTGTACCTGGGTAGGTTTGGACTACTGAAGCAAATGGGCTACTAATGGCCTTTCTACATGACCTGAGCATCTTCCAACATGGTAGGCACCTCAGTTCCAAGAAGGAGTATCTAGAGATCAAGGGTTCTTAGAAAATGAGGAGTAAGGGGCTGGGGATGTGGCTCAAGTGGTAGCGTGCTCGCCTGGCATGCCTGAGGCCCGGAGTTCGATCCTCAGCACCACATACAAACAAAGATGTGTCCACTGAAAACTAAAATAAATAAATAACTCTCTCTCTCTAAGAATAAATAAATAAAAATAAAAGGCATTTATTTAAAAAAAAAGAAAATGAGGAGTAAGCTGCATGACCTTTTAAGATCTAGCTTTTGAAGACATAGTGTCACTTGTACTGCAGTTTATTGGTTGAAGTAGTCAAGCTCACTCAAATGGAAAGAAAGGGGAGACAAACCCACCTTTCCATAGAACAGAATTTAGGGTCACCACCACAATCTGTTGAATTATTCCATGAGAATACATTACTCCATGAGAATACATCACTCAGTGTACTTAGATCATATTTAATTTTTAATTATCTGTTTTGTAA